CTGCTTCTCCCTCTGACCCTCTCCCCTCTCATGTACTCTCTCTCATTCTCGCTCTCTCAAATGAATAAATAAATCTTTAAAAAAAAAAAAAAAAAGAAACTGTACATTTATTTGAGAGAAAAATATTCAACCTGAAATAGTTTACTGATCCTTTCCATGAAACTAAAGAAATTAAGAAAATTAGTTATGTACTTCCAAGGAGAAAATGTTCATTCCTCCTTCCAAATAGTTAAACTCTAATATTCCAGTATTTAATTTGAAAGAGAAGGAGGAATTCAATCCTACATAAAGAAAGGGGGGGAAAAAAGGCTTATTCCTATTAATGACTATCAGTGGACTTACCACAAAAAGCAAAGGTTTCCTATAAGTAACAGGATGACAAGAAAAAAGAAAAACTTAAATAGAAACAATTTAATAAACAAGGGGGCAAAAAAACAGTGAAACTCTAGTTTAAGTTGTTAATGCTTCAGCTGCAGTTTTTGTGCCTAGAATTAGTCATCTTGCTTGACCAGATCTACGTCTATTCTGACAAACATCAATCTTTTCATTCCAGGGTTCCATAAAGCCCTCTCCTTACAAGCTGGCGTCCACGCGTGTTTTAGAACTGACACTCTGACTGGATAGGTGACTGTGGCACTGGAGTAGGATATGGCTCGCAGGCAGAGGCAAACACCCTCTCTGAGAAATTCTAACACCCCAATATAAAACAGGCATAAGTGGGATGCCTGGGTGGCTCAGTCAGTTAAGTGTCCAACTCTTGATTTCAGCTTGGGTCATGATCTCAGGGTTGTGAAATTGAGCCCCTTGTGGGCTCTGCACTCAGCAGGGAGTCTGCTTGAGATTCTCTCTCTCCCTCGCCCCCCACTCGAGCGCTCTCTTTCTAAAATAAATAAATCTTAAAAAAAAACCCATACATAAGTGAGACATATCATGTGCACAAATCTAAAGTGCACAGCTCTATACATTTTTATGTATGAATACACTTGTGTAACTACTACCCAGATAGTGACATAGAACATAGCCACTACTCCAGAAGTCCCCTCTGCTCCTTCTGTGTCAATATTCTCCCACCAGAGGAAGTGCCATTCTGACTTCTATTACTGTTTGGCTAGTTTGCCTATTCTTGAACATCCTATAAATCAGATAGTCTGTGCCCTTTTGTGCCTAGTTTTTTAGTTTACCATAGTATTTGTGAGATTCAACCATGTTTTTGCATGTGTTCATAGTGTTATTTTTTCACTGCTGTGTATATTCCATTGTAGAAACAGAACACATTTATCTACTCTACCATTGAAGAACATTTGGGTTTTTTCCTGTTTGGGGCTATTATGAATAAAGCTACGGTAAACATTGTTATGCAAATCCTTTGGTGGACATATGCATTTATTTCTCTTTGATATACCAGGGCTGGGATTTCTGGGGTATGGGGTAGGATATATGTTTTGTTTAACTGCCCAAGAGTTTTCCAAAGTGGTTGAACCAATTTACATGCCCACCAGCAATGTATCTAGTTCTATTCTCCATAAATTCACCAACACTTGGTATTGTTAGACTTTTTAATTTTAGCCATTCTGGTGAATATGTAGTGGTATTTCACTGTGGTTTTAATGTCTGTTTCCCAGATGAGTAACTATATTAAGCATCTTTTCATATGCTCACTGGCCATTTTGATACCCTCTTTTGTGAAGTGCCTATTAAAATATATTGACCATTAAAAAACTGGTTGTGTTTTTCTTATTGAGTTTATAATTCTTTATAGATTCTGAATTTAAGCCCTTTGTCTGACATATGTATTGCAAAAAATCTTCTCTCAGTTAATGGCTTGGCTTTTCCCTTTCCTAAACATGTATTTTCAGAAATTCTTAGTTTTAATGAAATTTAATTAATTGATTTTTTTTCTTTTAAGATTAGTACTTTTTATGTCCTATCTAAGGACTCTATCTACTCTAATACTCTCCATACTTTTTTGGGTAAGTTTTATTTTTTCTTTTACATTTAAGTTATAATTAATTTTGAATTAATTTTTGTATATAGAGAGAAGAGTTAAGATTCACTTTCCCCCACATGGATATCCAATTGCTCTAGTATCATTTATTGAAAAAAGCCCTAATTCTAAATTTTATGTTGATTGCTGGGTAATGGGAGCACACCTTCCATGAAAGGAGTATTTCTCATACTCACCTGTCTCAATAGTCTGCTTTCCTCCTGAGAGGACACCTAGAGGGAGTGTCCCTGTTGGAGTCAGGCCCTTGAGAGTCAGCACACTCTCACTCTCTTCCCTGCAAAGGAAGGTGAAAGCCCTGCATTAATGCCAGGGTGTCTACTGCTCGGCAGTTCAAAGGCACTAGATGGGAAGTTAAGAAAAGATGCACAGAGATGGAGGAAAGGTTCTCCTTCCTCCTACCCCTTCCCTGACCCAACGAAAGAGATGTTTTCTGAAAGTGTTCCAATTTTAAACCACCAGCAGATTCTTGTTTTTCAGTTAGAGTTACTTATAGCCAGGTACTGTTCTAATGCTTCCATTATATCACCCCATTTAATCCTCCTAATAACTGTGTAAGGCAGGTCTTGTTATTATCATGCTTTTACAGACAAGGAAACTAAGGCTCAAAATCATACAGCTAAGAAGAAGTCGAGCCAGGATGTGAACACAGGCAATCTGGCTCCAGAATCCACACTAAATCACTCCATTCACTACATCTAAGCTTGTACCAAATGAATGTTTGCCAAAACATTTCTAGTCACTGTAACATATAGGTCAGATTCAATGTGCACTCAGCTCTGACTCTGAAGACCTATCCAATCATACAAACTCCAATTCTAAAAAAAAACTGTTCTGAAATCAACTTCCAATTTTCTGTCAAAATGCTTTGATCCCACACTGCAATGACAGATTTATCCTTACCGCAGAATTGAAAAGACCCGTGCCATCTTCCCAATGGCTCTGATTTTATTCTTGATGATCTCCTTTCGAACTGTAGTGCCTCCTTCAGGAATACAAAGAATCAGTGAGTTAAAAGAATGTGTTAACTGGTTAGTTGTTAAAAATGCAGGATGAAGTATCTTTCTAAGTTAAAGAAATTGTTATTTTAAAAAAAGAAATCAAGGTCTAAGTTTGTTTAGACAAAGAAAAATCCCAGGAAGTTCTAAGGAGCAAGAGAAAAAACAACCCAGAAGAGGGGAAAAGCAAGATGAAAAAAATGGAGGGGGTCACAACAAAGACAGACTGGACAGACCTACAAGAGGTGGGAACTTATTTGTGGTTCTGAAATACAGAGCACAGTGAAGAATGAAACATACATGTGTCAACAAAGACAGTCGCTACAGCAAAGATCTCTTCTGAGAATGCTGTGGGCCACCTCAGAATGCGGGGTTTGGCCTGCCAAATGGCAAGTGACGATTCACCCAGTTGTCTTCTGTGGCAAACACAACATAGAGCTAGCTCTCCTCAACTTAGTGAGGGCTGCTTTCATTCTATAATCCTCACTTACAAACCGGTGAGTTATTTCCTACCATCGACAACTGTGCGATATAAATTATGATGGTGGGGAAGGTCTTTATAAAACAACACCAAAAATGTTACCACAACATTGTATGGCCTTTTCTCATCTAAGATTCAGGGAACAGCTCACACATGAGAAGCCAAGGTCCAGGCATGCACCAGGTGACCGCACTCAAAAGTCAGAAAGAGAAACATGGCCTCTCCTTCCTCACCCCTCCAGTTCTCAATATCCTGCAGAATTATACAGCAGGTGCAAAGAAAACATTTACACTAAAACAGAAAGGGAGGATGGAGAGCCTGTCTGAATCACTCAACTACAACTAAAAAGGTCTAATAAAATTAATAGGCTGTGGTGGGACAGACAGCAAGTATTAAGCTCTTAGCACATTTTAGTCAGATACCTTTCCGATAGCTTGAAATGTAGTGATCTTCAGGGAGAAGAGACACCAAGAAACAAGGAGATGAAGATAGAATTATGGGAAGAGAAATTTAGGTTGACATGGAAGAGAGAAAAAAAATCAAAGTGAAATGCAATGAGAGAAGCAGGCTACTACTATCTTTTATCAGCTCAGAAGAGACATCCTTGGTAGCATGATAGAGTATTAAATCACAGATTTCTTGTCAGCAGTTTTTCCTTTTCTTAGAAGTTTATAGTTTTACATTAATTCACATCTATTGTCATCCAAAACACCCTATCCCCACAAGTCATGCAAATAAAATTGGACAAAGAAAAAGATATTATTTGGGAAACAAATGATGCTGAAAACAGGGAACAAAAACAAAGGGCAAAATGAACAGCCTACAAATCTCTTAATAAAGCCATGTGGTTTTTTTTTACTTTTTTATTGTTATGTTAATCACCATACATCACATCATTAGTTTTTGATGTAGTGTTCCATGATTCATTGTTTGTGCATAACACCCAGTGCTCCATGCAGAACGTGCCCTCTTTAATACCCAACACCAGTAAAGCCATATGTTTTTGTTTAATGGAGTCACTATCTTCCTGTGTCTTTTTGGAGATATTATAGTCTTTCCCTTTTTCAGTTTTATATTTTCTTCAGAATCTCAAGTTCATTCACATTGCTTTCTGCTGTTTGTGTTGTTGATTCTCTTCGAGACTTTCCTGAGGTGGCTGGTAATCCTTGGAGTCTGCTTGTGATTGAGAATGGGGGCCTAAAAGGCTCTCCAAGTTGCCGGGTGGACCGCTGACTGGCAGCTTTACAGGTAGGGATGGGGTGGGGGAGCTTTGTGAGGGAGTTCTCTATATCAGTATTGAGGATGCACATGGCAACTCAATTCACCTGTTTCGGGCAAGGTATTGATACCCTCAGTTGTATTCTTAACCCAGAAATTTTTAGTTTACACCTTTTTTGGAGATTAGCCTCCAGACCTGGAGAAGAGGCAGTTGCCCAGTGGCAACTAGGACAGTAACTGCTTTTCAAACAGCTTCCACCTAGTCTTATTTTAGCTCAGTGACCATCTCCCTCCTTCCCCCAACCCACAGTCCCCAATTCTAGAAACTGCTACTACCAATTCCTTTGCTTTTTGAGAATTCTGTGCTGGAACTCAGCATTCACCACTACTTTAGGTTTCTTGAATCAGCCAAGTGAGGAACATTAATTCATTTACCAGTTTCTAAAAGTTCCTGTAAAAATCTCCACATTTTTGTAGGTTTGTAACTTTTAAACTTTTTTATTGTTAAGTATGAGAAACATAAAGAAAAGTACACAATACAAATGTATGTGTCTCTGTTCCCAAAGAAAATCACTCTCTTGACCTTTATTGAAATCCTTTCTTGCTGTTCTTTATAGTTTTATCATGTAAGCATGTGTGGATCCACAAGCACTATGGTTTTCATTGTGTTTGAACTTTAGGTAATTGGAACAATCAAATATGTATTTTTTTTTTAAAGATTTTTTTTTAAGATTTTATTTATTTATTTGACAGAGAGAGACACAGCGAGAGAGGAAACACAAGCAGGGAGAGTGGGAGAGGGAGAAGCAGGCTTCCCGCCGAGCAGGGAGCCTGATGTGGGGCTCGATCCCAGGACTCTGGGATCATGACCTGAGCCGAAGGCAGA